TTCCTCTCTCTTCTGGAAATAGGTGTTAACTACAGCCATTTCCATCCTCTTAGCAAAGTCCACCACCATCTGTCCTTCTATGTTCCTTCCCTTGACACCAAACCTGCCCATCGCCTCCTCATCACCTTTGTTCCCCTCACCAACATGCCCATTGAAGTCTGCCCCAATCACCACTCTCTCCCCTCTGGGAATACTCTCCATCACCTCATCTAACTCCCTCCAGAATCTCTCCTTCTCTCCTAACTCACACCCTACTTGTGGGGCATAACCACTGACTACATTCAACATTACCCCTTCAATTTCCAACTTCAAACTGATCACCCTGTCTGACACTCTTTTCACCTCTAAAACATTCCTCACCAGCTCCTCCTTCAGGATCACTCCTACCCCATTTCTCTTCCTGTCCACACCATAATAAATCAGTTTGTATCCCCCTCCAATGCTACACGCTTTGCTACCCTTCCACCTGGTCTCCTGCACACACAGTATATCTACCTTCCTTCTCTCCATCATGTCTGCCAGCTCTACCTTACTCTCTACCTCTACCTACTCTCTACCTTTCCCTGTCATTGTGCCAACATTAAGAGCCCCTATTCTCAGACCTATACTCCTGCCTTTCCTCTTCTCTTTCTGTCTACAAATCCTTTTACCTCCTCTCCTTCTTCGACCAACAGTAGTCCGATTTCCGCCAGCACCCTGTAGGTCAACAGCACTGGTGGCAGTCATTGTTAACCCGGGCCTCAACCGATCCAGTATGGAATTTGCACTGGTGATTTGCATGTTTAAATTTGGCATGTTTTTATGCCAGATGCCCTTCCTGACACAACCCTCTCTATTTATCCAGGCTTGGGACCAGCACAGAAGTCACTGGCTTGCAACCCCTGTGGCTAGATTCTAATAATAAAGAGAATGTGCTACATCAAAAATAGTATGTGCAACAGTTTTTGTCAATGAATATGTAATTGTGCATGTTCAAACTGAGAGTGTACAGGTGCAATTACATGAGTAAGTCCTGATTATAAACAGACATGCCAAACCTCCTCAGCCTCCTCAGGACATACAGCCACTGTTGGGCCTTCTTGACCAGCAGTGTGGTGTTAAGTGTCCAAGTGAAGTCCTCACTGATGTGAATGCCCAGGTATTTGAAGCTGCTCACCCTCTCCACTTTGAACTCCCAGATGAGGTCTCCTCTCCTTCCTCATGTCCACTATCATTTCCTTTGTCTTGTCCATGTTGAGGGTGAGGTTATTGTCCTTGCACCATGACACCAGACTGGCCACCTCCCTCCTGTAGGCTCCTTCGTCCCCGTCAGTGATGCGACCTACCACTGCGGTGTCATCCATGAACTTTAGAATGATGTTGTCCTTGTGGGAGGTGACACAGTTGTGGGTGAACAGGATGGGATGGGTAGAGGATGGGGCTGAGGACACATCCCTGTGGGGTGCCAGTGTTTGTAACAATGCTGGCTGAAGTCCTGTTGCCAATCCTGACAGTCTGGGGCCTGCCAGTCAGAAAGTCCAGGAGCCAGTCACAGAGGGTGGGGTGTAGACCCAGTGTGGACAGTTTGTGGGTGAGTTTGTGGGGGACAACTGTGTTGAAGGCGGAGCTGTAGTTAGTGAAGAGTATCCTGATGTAGGAGTCTCCATTTTCCAGGTGAGAAAGGGAATAGTGGAGGGCAGCTGGGGGGTTGGGTGGTCTAGGTGTGTGCCTCCTCTCTGTGCGTGGCTAGAGGTCTCAAAGTGGGTGTAGAAGGTGTTGAGGTCATCTGGCAAGACATCTGTGGGATTGATGATGCTGGTGGTGGTCCTGTAGTCTGTGATGTGCTGCAGGCCTTGCCACATTTGTCCGGAGTCAGCAGTAGAATAGAAGCCATTCTCTCTGTACTGCCTCTTGGCCACTGTGATGGCTTTCCTCAGTCTGTACTTCACAGCTTTGTACTCCGTCTCATTGTCTGGTTTGAATGCGTGAGAGCGAGCACCCAGCATGTGGCGTACCTGACTGTTTATCCAGGGCTTCTGGTTGGGGAACCTCCTGACTTGTATGGTGGGCACAATGTTGTCAGTACAGGTACTAATGTACCCGGTCACATACTCAGCATAATGCTCTATGCTAAGTTTTCATATAGGACGTACAGCGTGAGGGATGAGCCCTCGTCTGCAAGTGTGGCTGGTCAGCAACATTACAGCAAGGATTCTCTGAATACAATCAAAGTCGACTACTTTTATAACAGTATCTCAGAGTAATGATACAAAGATGATGGATGAGAAAAGAAAACATGCTGGTTGGAGCATTATGCACCAAACACATAGAGAGCCAGGATTAACCGAGGCTTTAATCTGAGGGCCTTCTTCTTCTTCAAGAGGCAGAGGAGGCCCTGAGCACTGCTACCCAGGCCCGTCATCACAAAAGGCAGCACGTGTCTTTAGCTGTGTGGAATACAAAGCATGTTAAACACCTCCTCTTTCTCTGCTTCAGTCCCAGAATTCATCAGAGCTGAACCCGGAGACAACGTCACTCTGGCATGTCGAGCTCCCAGCTACACCGACATCAGAGCAGTAGTGTGGAGCAGACCTGACCTGGAGCCAAGAGTTATCCTGTACCAGAAGAGGATGTCAGATCCAGAACACCAGCATCTGTCTTTTCAGGACCGGGTGGAGCTGGAGGACAATGAGATGAAGGACGGAGACGTGTCTTTGGTTCTGAGGAATGTGACGACTGGTGACAGTGGAACATATGAGTGTCGTGTCATCCCAGATACAATATTTTACATCATAGCAGACCATGAACCCTTCTGCATCGTCCACCTGAATTCTAACCCAGGTGAGTTTGTCTGTGCAACGCAGGCTTCAAGTCTCCACATCACACCTGTGTATGTTGCCTGTTGGACCAGGCCGGGTTCACATGAACTGTGACATCACATTTCATGCATTAAACTCAGGTTTGAGGTGAGCCCAGAGAAACTCTCCCCTATCAGCAGGTGAATGTGAAAATGGCCTCTGCCTGAGCCTGAGTCAGAGCAGTGACATGACTGAAAACCCATGTGTGAGTGGAGGAGGACTGAGCTGCAGCCTGCAGGAAGCCCATCACTTGAGAAGCACCTACGGACTCTGGCTTTCCTGTGTGGAGCCCAGTGCTGCTGAAATCTGGGTCGTGGTGCAGCCGGAGGTGTCTGTCTCAGTGACTGTAGGACATCCAGTGAGGAGCCACTGAGTGGAGAGCAGATCTGACCAGCTGTGTTTGTGTTTCTGCTGCAGAGCCAAAGCTGCCTGTCCTGAGACCCATTGTCTCCGTTGTGGTGTGGACCCCCTACTTCATCAGCACTCTGCTCATGGTGTCTCTGTATCGAGAGAGGCTCACAGGTACAGTAACATTCTGAGGCAGCGACTCTCTCTCAGTCTGCAGATAGGACGGCAGGAACATGTCACAGTTCATCCTCTGGTTGTGGATCCAGAGCGGTAGATTGTCCACAGACACTCACAGAGCTAAGAAGGTCTGTCTGCCACCATGATCTTGTCCATTGATCAGTCAGTCAATCAGTCAGTGTCACCTTGTCACAATATGATTCATTTGAAAATAAGTTTCATGATTTCAGATGATTTAACACATGATGATGACTATTAATCATTGCAGGAAGGAAAGCTGCTGTTACCATGACAATGCCCCCACCCAGTGAGGAGGGACTGGACGGACAGCATGATGATGTCTATGACAACGTCACCACCGAGCATCAGTTCTGAGACACTGCGCAGTTACCTTGTGTGTTTGTGTGTTAATGTTGTGCTCATGTTGTCCTTTGTCTTTGGTGTCTTGTGACGCATGCTAAAGTGTGGACGCCTGCTGAATTGGGCCTTAGTGATGTGTCTCTGCCAACAATATGGAGGTGTAGATGCTGTGGGGTTGTGTAGCAGCTGGTGACCCAGGAAGCACTGCACAGACAGAGGAAACAGTGAGTCGCAGCAGGCGGCCTACACCTAGCATCAGCAGCTAGCTTAGTAATTAGCACATGTAGTGGGCTTATGTAACCACAGTCGTTCACTG